ACCGCTATTTTAATGAAAAAGAACGAATTTTTTCATGATTTTGCACCTACTAAGAGATCTAAATAGCGTATCTGCAACTATCTGCAGACATTTTCACATTGATAGGTTAGAGGGGACTCTAAAGAAGATATCTGTGTGTTTTCGAGCGTGGTTTCTTGTGGTCGCGTTATACATTTGCAATTTTATAGTTACAAATTATTTACTAAATTTACTAATTAAATGTACTCATTTACCTTGTACCGAGGAACATAAATAGTAAATCCAACTAAAAATGTTGATACAATGTTAAACCAGTTCCAAATGATCATAAATACGACTACTTTCAATCACTGTATAATGTAACAATGAAGCAAAAAAAAAAGTCAACAACTTTAAGTACAATCGACAGACAGTGAGCCACCGCTTAATGCGTTGCTACGACGACGACGGAACGCTGTTTTGTTTTGTCAACATTGTTGCCATGTTCGGTAGATCTTTCTGAACAACTTCCATGCGACAGAATACGTGTTTAGGAATTTTCATTTTTTGACTTTTTTCCACCTAGAATTTAAAGTGGCCCCACTGTGCGCCGTGACTTTCGGCGTGACGACCGAATGAATAAACAGTGGAAACAAAGCATTCCCGAGCGAATGATCTTTGCGTGTTCGCTTTGTTTCCTCTGTTTATAATTGTCGATCACGGATCTCTCGGGGACTTCTTTCGGTGACTCGGGTGTTGGAGAAGTCTCGAATTTGCGAGAAGCCCCCGAGAGCTTAAAGGGACACGCGCTCTTGGCAACGGGGCCAGTCGCTCTCTGCTTTCCGAGTTGCCGCTGTCAATAGTTCGAATAGCTTGGTCCGCTCCTTCGCTTGCGCTAAGTAGTTAGAGTTGCTCGTTTTTTTGCTCGCTTAATCGTTCGCGTTGCTTGCTTTGGCGTTTGTTTTGCGCTTTTTGCGACACTATCTTTTCTATCCTTATATTCGCGATTCTGCATTTTGCACATAGTGTAAATGGAAATAAACAGTACTTTGTTCATCTACTTTACTCATTGACTGTCTCTTCCTATCCGCGGTTCGTGTCCTCGCTCGCGTGCGCGGTCCGCTTACGAACAGAAATTTATAACGAATTGAACAAAACTTGACCGAAGTTGATCGGTTTATTAGTTTTCAAGTTATTACGCCCATCAACTTGAAAAACATGATTTCGAGAAAAACGCGTTAGTTTTAGATAAAGTTTCACGATACCGCTGAAAAATTGACCTGAACGTTTATTCTGCTATTCCGGCCCCATACATTAAACCTTCTTCTTCTTCGAAAAAGTCTTGCAGTACTGTTTTTTTCCATTCTTCTGGCTGTACGAGCCTCTTTAGTGCTTTCTAAATTATGACGGTGTGCACTCAATAGTCGTTTTTCATTAAACGCGTCTCACTAAACAGACCTATAACTTCTTTATTTTTGCGAATTCGACTTTATAACTATAGGAGCATATTTTTTAGATGTTATACTTTTAATATATGCAAAAAATTTTTAATTTTTTTGACCCGTTACACTAGAATCCTTCCTTAATAAAAACATCAATTTATATTGTAATAATTACTAATATATAAAAACATCAATTTATGATAAAGTAAAATTATTAAATTAATAACCTAACCTAATTTATATGTGAGCGCGTGCGCCTGGCTGCGTATGTGTGCGTGTATAAGTGATCGACTGAAACCTTCCCGTTTTCATCATTTCCCGAAACTGCCCTCAAGCTGTAGACATTCGCTGCGAAATTCTATGGGAGAAGGTACCCCGGACATTCGAACGTTCGTAGAAAGTACTTCATCAATCGCAGTACGTATGCGATTGTTCTGAGATTATCGCAAAAGTATATTGCGTTCTCAGATTCTTCCTGTGCTGTGTGGGATCGTCACGTGATCAGACTCGCATTGACTCAAATCACTCTAATCTCGACTTTAAACATATTAACGTAATCAGGGCGACGTACCGATAATTAATATCACAATTATTTCTCGCTAGGCTAACTTTGATACACGGTCGTACACGCCCGATCCGCCCGTCACGTGATCGACATTCAAACATCTCGGATGCTCTCAAAAGCTTTTATCGCTCGCAATCAACGTGAATCGATTTATTTACACTCGGGAAATTACTTTTACGCTTATTCTCTCGGTTTGACACCACTTTTGCCATCACTTTGGCACGTCACGTAATTACTCGCGCCTATATATATCGCTGCTTTGTCAAAATCTCTCGCTATCCGTTAAAATGCTTTCTCTTTATATAAAATAAATAAAATTAATCATAATCGACTCGATAAAAATAACTTTTGACTAAACTTAAACCGTTGCATGACTAATGTCACTTTTGTCACAAATGTGCATCACATTCTCAAAATAACGATCAAATCAATGAAAAATATAATCTTTATAAAATACGTACTCCATCGTTAATCTATGATTATTAAATGAATCGGATCATGTTTCAACAAAGTTATGTTAGAATCGCAGGTTTCACCTGTGATTCCCCCAGAGAGCCGGGACTGTATCGGAGAGACGTGCGTCATGTCCCAGAACACCGGGATGGCCAGCGAGGTGCAGCAGAGAGCAGAAGGGCAGAAGGTGCAGCCGAGGGTCTTACCGAGACCGACCTCTTCGAGAAGGTGGCCGAGGAGAAGGTGCAGAGGCTGATGGTGGTGGGCACGACACAGCCCGCTGGACAAATATCGCTTGCGAGCCAGCAGATAGTAGTCAAAGAGGTGGTGCAGCCGGAGCTGCACCCAAGAGATACCTGTCAACGAAGCCCGAGTGCAGGAGGAGTACACTAGCAGGTGTAGAATCATATTTCTTTTTATACATGTATGCGGGACATTAGAATTAAGTATTTGCGACATTTTATATATTTCATTTGCGTAAAGTTTATTATTTTATTATCATAGATATCAATAGAGTCAGCAGATTATAAGTTTTAACTCGAGACACAATTAAGTTTTTATTTGTATATTATTTTACAGCGTGATAGTAAACTAGGTACACATTAAGCAAACATTATTATATTGTTTGATAAAGACACGGCAGCGAGCCTAAGAGTTTAGTAAGTAAGAATAATTTTAAGAGACTTACACTAACAGTACACTCTGTTGCACCTAAAGTACAAATACAGAACACCGATAATAAATACACAATATTTACACCTTGTTACACCAAGAACAAAAATAAAATACATAATTTACCTCAATTACATTACCAGTTTTCCAGAGTGACCAATTCACACAAAAGTAAAGATACATTTAGCCGATCGACATAAATTTAGATAAATTTTACATAATTTACACTTGACATCTTAGTATTAAGCGTTCGAGATGAGCCGTGAGCGGTTCTACACTTTTATTACACTCCTTACACTTTAAGTGCAGTTTTGATATATTTTCAAGATTTATTAATTTCAGTAACTATAAAGGCCGATAGGAATGATTCCGGGCTAAGGATATTAATTTTCATGATTTTGATACACTTTACAGCTATTTCATAGGACTTCCGGTTCCGGAACATAGAAGGTGACAGGTGTAAACATAGCAGAGATAAAGTGGTAGAAAAGTGCGACACAGAAAGGGTGGGAGAGAGCGAGAGTAGCGGGACGGCAAGGGATGAAGGTGTGAGACGGCGGAGGAGAAAGAGTTAAGCGGGGGCGAGATCGGTTAAAAGGTGAAAAGTGAAGAAAGTGGCTGGAACGAAGTGACAGTTGAGGCATAGACGGTAAGTAACATAGAGGGGCGACAGAACGTAGGAAAGAGGCGCGAAAGCGGGCATAGACTAGCTCAGTCATAGAAAGGAAGCTCGGATATAGAAGGAATAGTAGGACGTGCACGCAGCCATAGGATACAAAACAAGAAAGAGGGATAGGTAAATCAAGAACAGCGGATGGATAAAGAGAAGGAAATAGAATCAGAAAGTGTACAACAGGGAGATAAAGGAAAGAAGGGGGAAGGCAAAGGCGAGAAGAAAGCGAGAGGCAGACCAACGAAGACGGAGGAGTTAGCCAAATTAAGAAGAGCGGACAGCACAGGATCGGTCAAGGAATTCTTTCAGAAGAGTGAGAAAAGGAAGAGGGAAGAAGAGGTGGAGGAAGCAGCGAATGTGGAGGAAGAAATTCTAAAAGAATTTAACGCACAATGAAGGGTCAACAGATCACCGCCGCCCAAAATCAAAAAAGAAAAGCAGGGAAAAGAAAACATGGCGACGGAAGAATTACTGGAGAAGGTTAAAGAAATTTTGAAGAAAATGGAGAAACAAGAGGGAGAAAGAAAAAAAGATAAGGAGGAACAAGAAAAAGAAAGAAAAAGAAATAAAGAGGAAATAAAAAACGAAATTAAGGGACTGAGGGAGGAATTAAGGAGAAGCGAGGAGAAATGGGAAAATCAAAGAAAGACTCTGGAAGGAAGAATTAAGAATTTAGAGGAGAAGGCGGAGAAGATAGAAGTAAACATGTCAATGAGTGAGGGAGGGGAGATAATAAGGAAAATGAAAGAGATAGAAAGAAATATGGAGATGGCAGAAAGAAGAAGGAGGAGAGTAAACATAATTGTAAGAGAAGAGAAAACAGGAAATGAAAAGGAAAGAAAAGAAAAAACCGAAAAGTTGATAGAAGAAATAAATAGATCGAAAATGGCCGTCGAGGAAGTACAAGAAATTGGACATGGAGAATTTAAGATGAAGGTACTGAGATGCAGAAATTGGTAAAACAAACGAGAGATAATGATGAGAAAGAAAGAGCTAGGAAAGAAGTATGGCTGTTTTCTGAATGACGACCTTACTAAAGAAGAAAGGCAGATACAGAAAGAGTTAAGAAAGATAGCAAAGGAAAAAAGGGAGGCAGGAAAATGGGTAACGGTCGGATACCAAAAAATATAGGAGGATAATAAGGAATGGAGATGGAACGAAAGCAAAGAAGCGCTAGAAGAAAAGGATTACTTTCGCAGATAAGAAAGAAAAGAAGAAGGATAAAGAAGGGTTAAAAATGATGAACAAGAGAAGGAGGGAAGAGATACAAGAAAGAAGACAGGAAAGGTCTAAGGAGATAGAAGAAAGGCGGAACACACCAGAAGAAACCAGAAAGGACGAAGAAAGTATAAAGGAGGTAGATGAGGAAAATATTAGAAGAAACGGTATAAGGGAAGTCGAGGGACAAGAGAAAAGATATATAGGAGAAGAGGAAAGAAACGACGGGGAGAGTGAAGAGACGTGGAAAGTGGCCTTTTGGAACGTAGCTGGTTTATCAAACAAGGATAAGGACTTCTGGGAAGGGATAAAGGAATGGGATGTGATTGTGATGATGGAGACTTGGACTGATGAGAAAGGATGGGAGAAGGTGAAGGAGAAGCTATCGAGAGAATTTAGATGGAGAGTACAGATAGCAACCAGAAGGAACAAGAAAGGCAGAGCATGCGGAGGCATGTTGCTAGGAATAAGGAAAAGCATAGAAGAGATAAAGGAAAGAAGAGAGACGGAGGAAGAAGGAAAAATCGAAGGTAAGATAAGAATAGGAGAGGAAGTATGGAGAATAATAGGAATCTATGTAAACAACAATATAGACGAAAAACTAAAAGGTCTGAAGGAAAGGACGGAGAAGGGGGAAAAAGGAGTAAGGACCATAATAGGAGGTGACTTCAACGCGAGAACGGGAGAGGAGGAAGGATGGGAAGAGGAAATCGAACGAAGAAAGGAAAGAGGGAGGAAGTCTAAAGATAAGAAGATAAATAAAGAAGGCAGAAAGTTACTGGAGTTTATCGAGGAGAGAGGATGTATGATATTAAATGGAGGCACGAAAGGGGACGAGGAGGGAGAATATACATACACAGGGGGAAGAGGTGAGACAGTCATAGATTACATAATAGGGGACGAGGAGGTTAGAGAAAAGGTGGAAAGACTGGAAGTAGGAGAAAGGATAGATTCGGACCATCACCCATTAATACTATGGGTGAAAGGAAGCTCGAAGAGAAGACAAAGGAGGAGAGGAACTGAAAAAATGAGAAGACGGGGAGTATGGAATGATGAAGGAAAGACGCAATTTAGGGAGAAGTTAGGCGCGATTGGAGGAAAAAGAGACTTGCAAGAGGAAATAGAGGAAGGAACAAGGAAGATAAGAAGAGTGATAGAGGAGAACGAGGACAAGAATGAAAGAGTGACTATCAAGAACAAAAGAGGGTGGTGGGACGAGGAATGTACGGAGAGCAAGAGGGAAGTGAGGAAAGAACTAAGGAAATGGAGAAAAGGGAAAGAAGAGGCAGAAAGATACAGAGAAAGAAGGAAAGAATATAGGGAAATGTGTGACAGAAAGAAGAAGGAGGAGAAAGAAAGAATGATTAGAGAGATTGGAGAAGCGAAAACGGAGGGAAAAGTATGGGAGTTGATAGGCAGAGTAAGGAAGAGAAGAAGAAGGGTGAATGAAGAGATAAAACCGGAAGAGTGGAAGGAGTATTTCATAGATCTGATGGGTGGAGTGGAGAACAGAGTGGTAAAGGGAGAGGGAAACGGAAGTAGACAGGAGGAAGAAGAGATAGGATTAGAAGAGATAAGAAACGTAATAAAGAAACTAAAGACGGGAAAAGCAATAGGCAATGACGGAATACCTAACGAGGCATGGAAGTACGGAGAAGAAGAAATGGTGAAATGGATATGGGAGGTATGCAAGCGTGTCTGGAGAGGTGAAGGCTGGCCGGAACAATGGAAGGAAGGGGAGATAATCCCATTAATTAAAAAAGGAGAAGAGCGAGAGGTGAAGGACTATAGAGGAATAACCATCATGTCTTCGATGTACAAAATCTACACGGCGATACTGGCGGAAAGAATAAGAGAAGAAGTAGAAACGAAGAAATTGATCCCCGATAATCAAACGGGATTCAGGAAAGGAATGGGAACGATGGATCAAATATTCGCTTTGAACTACCTGGTAAA